TATATATAATTATACAGTAGATATAAATATACATTATAATACAACATACATTAAAACTAAACCATATTTATGATGAGTTCTAACCTGAACAGGGCAGAGTCCATATAACAGGAGTTGCAGTGACCCTGAATGCCTTTCATCTTACCAATCAGTCGTTTTGACACGTCTTCTGTTCTAATAGGTGGCACATTGTCCTGTTCCTCAGATACCATTGCCTCATCATTATCTGTCACAGAGAAGAAGAATGAGGCACACATGAAAGTTACACAAGTTACACTACAGTAGGTGGCAACATAATATTGGTTGGTGTAATCTACCTGTCCATGGTAAAGTTTCACTTTCTTCTAATAAACACCTGACACACTTTAAATACAGTACAATGTAATTTCACAAAAACATAACCATATCATTAGGTCTTACCAGAGTGTCCATTGAACAGCTTCTTCTTTACACCAGAAAAGCGATCATCAGGCCGACAAGATGAGAGTTTCACAAATAGACCACAGTGAGGAGGACAGTTAAAGTACCGTTTTCCTTTATATGTTCCATCAGTCACGCCGGCACTGCTGTCCTCCTAAGAAAAAATACATATATTACAGTCTTAGTTTAACAAATGGTGAAACTGGCTTATATTTTTATTTTATTTCAGAACTACAGGAATTTCTGAAAGATTACAACAGTTGAACTGGTATATAGAGAACCTACCAGTTCCAGTCCAGCAGTCATCCCAGGGAAATTGGGTAAACATCCAATCCAGCGGACAGTACCATAAAGTAGTGTTTTTCCCTGAAACTGCACTAGGGAGCCAACAGTGATTTTGTCAGAATCAGTAACACCCCCCATCCCTGGGCCCTGAGAAGTGTCCATTTTTTCAGTTCCATCTGGTCACAAAAATAACAAAGCAAAAAACGAAAAGTATGATATGAAACTAACTCCATTACATTGATAGGATAGAAATTATTGTTTGCATGAGTGTCCAAGCCCAAATGCTTATACTAAGGTTGTATTATGTGTTCTTCTGTTCTATAAATACACATAAAACCTGCGGCAACACATGCATATGTTACCTTTATTTAACAGCTCCTCTTTAATTACACAATCCAGTGGGAGCATTATCTCTCCTCCTCGCTTCCCCTCTTCATCCTTATCCTGAGAAGAGGAACATTTTAGAAAAGTATTCTTACTTAATATAACATTGTACAATAGCTCTTCGAGTTTTAGGTGAACACACTATTATACCTTAATCTGTATACTGTCTTGTTTTTCTTGTACATACATCTATGCAATATGTTTTTTAAAGATCTGTAATTTTCTTTTAATTTACATTTAGTTAACATCATTTAGGGTTATAAACAGGTTTCAAAGTGCAAGTTTTTGCAAACAATACCGTTATTGTCTCCGTGAAAATCACAAAAACGTAACTTTGTGAAAACGGTGACATTGCATGCGTATTACGTGTTTGCGTAGTGTTTCTTTACAAAGTAACATTACCAACTATTGGCCTGGCATGGATAAATACAGTGTGTAAGTCGTTTTTATGGATCCCTGTGAATGGGGATCATTTTGATGATGTTGTCATCTGTATGCAAAAAATACAAAGGAGTCTCTTAGCAAAACTTTAGCAAATCATTATCTTATAAACGTACCCTAAGAGATAGAACATTATTCTGGGACTAATATTTATGTAAACATTCAGGTAAAGCTTTCTTTTTTGGACTTGTTTCTATCATGCTACCAATCCAGTTGTTTTTATCTTTAGATCTAAGGAACGTGTTTAAAGAGAATGTTACAACAACAAAAAAATGTCACCCAAAAATACAATTTCTGTCATTATTTATTCACTATGTCATTATTTATTCCTATGTCATTCCAAACCTGTATGTGGTTATTTTTTCTGTGGAACACAAAAAGTGAAATCCTTAACAATTTCCCCCTCTTTGTTCAACTTAAAGAAACTTATACAGACTTAGAACCACATTGACTAAATTCATTTTTGGGTGAAATATTAATTTTTAGTCACTCTAAGAAGTCAGAAGTCAGTACTCACAGTAGATATGAGAACCATTTTGCCATCTGGGTGGTCCTTTATATCCATAACCATGCCATGGTGAGCATTTTTGTCACCAAAAAAGGTTACTCTGTCTCCAGCTTTGAGAGGTTCAGTAGACGTCATGGACAGGGAAGACTGAGTTGGTAGTGTGGGTGCTGAAGGTTTATGATCCACTGGTTTGATTCTTGTAAAAGGGGCAAAAATACCTGAGTTTTTAGGACATGTGAAGTATGATGAACCATCATTTTGGCCTTTTCCTTTATCTTCCCCCTAAGAATAAAAATAATATAAGACTTATACAACCACATTACTCTTAGTGGGTCGTTTGTATTATTCTACCTCTGTTCTCTCTTCAACAATACTACAGACACAATCTCGCTCATGCAAGCAGGTTACTCACCTGCAGTTCCACCCCGAAGAAGACTCCTGTTATAGGATCAGAACTATAAGATGTGAGACTGCCAATGTATCGAATCACACCTTTGAGCCACTGCCCTTTATATTCCACGTGAACCTGACCGCCTTCAGACAGATTTGAAGCCTTCTCTAAAGCCTCAGGATCTTTCAGGGCCAAGAGTCGGTCTTCATTGGACTCAAGAGCCATCAGTAATTCTGCTTCTCTGCGTGACAATGGCTGCAGAAGAACTTTATCAAGCCATGTATCAGTTAATTTCCCCATACAAACTACAGGTAAAATGTCTGTGTCGTTTCTTTTTTGCCTTGCATTAAATCGTTCTTTATATATGAAGCATATTTCACCAGCCTTTATATACACATTTGGTGAAGGTGGATTTGCAGTTATCATGAAGTATATATTGTTGTCAGCTGAAGCCATTTGTTGAAAATGTTACTTGGAAAAGTGAAGTACGTCAGGCTTTCAGGTAGACACCAGTGTTTCCAGTGTGGGCATGGGCCTATAGCATTGGAGTTATGTTACTTGCTCACTTCCTCTGAGTAATGCATATTCTTCTTCTTTGTCGTTTAAATACCTTCAAGTTAAAACGTAAACAATGTAAAACAACTGCGCTGGTAGATAGGAAGATCTGCGTAGACACCCTCTGTAAAATAGTCAAACGTTAGTGATAGTAACTTTTGTTTGTTAATAGATTATTGATATATCGACCTGGAATAATATATGGCTAATAAAACGAAGTTTTTAAATAAGTTAACAACCACTCTCAATCGACCTCATAAAATTAATAATTCCCAATTAAATTGAGCAAACATTCGATCTAATTATGCTCATTACTTACCGATGTCAGTAGTACTTTCGATTTCTGTAACCCAAAACGAAACTGTTAGAATGCAAAACTGTCAGCCTTCTTCCAAATACAGACACTTAAAAAAGTTGTTGGAATAAAGATAATGATGTGATTATCAGAAGTATATAATGTTGCTCTAAATGAAACTACTCTCTGTAGTTTACTGTCAGTCTGTACATTTCGAACAACCAGGCACAGTTCAGCTCAAAACCAAAACTTTAGAATCATCTGTTGAGAGGCGTGTTGTGATTGGATGTTGCCTGTAAACGTATTCACAGGCGTCGTCGCGGTTTTATGACATCTGTGTTTTGGTGTGAAGATGGCTGATCGTGAAGCGCTAAAAAGAGAAATAGAGGAACTGCAAAGTAAGTGTGGCTACTTTATTTATATGGCGATCATCTAGTGTAATTCAACAGTGGTTTTAAGCGTTTTTCAAAATCCTACTTTCGTTATTAGCTACATTTACCTTGTGAATGAAGTATTCAGTAACACCGTGGCTGACCTAACGTTATCCGTTATTCACTAAAGCTAAGATATTCACTAATTTGAAGATGTTTATATGTTTGTAATTTCTTACTTACCGCAGTTTGTTCGTTTTAATTTTTACCTCGTTGTTGGTACTGGTTCTTTGCTGGTTGCTGTAGAGCAGGTTCAGGGATAAACAAGTCTCTGGGCGAAAATGACGTCCAAAACCGATATAAAGGTGGTTCGACGTTTTGACGTTGGATATTAGACAGATATTCAACTGCGAAAAAAATCAATAAATTCTTAGTGGATGAGTATAATTGTATAAAAAATGGCTTATCTGAAAAGCATTAGAACGTAGAACTGAACACACATCGCAGTTTATTTAGTTTACTCCTCCTCGATATGTTGCAACGCATAAAGTCTCTAGCAGCAGCGAGCTAGCGCTTAGGCCAGCTAGGGACAGTCTACAAAGTACACGTAAAGGATAAAACGATTAATTATTAATTAGTTTTCCCTCCGGAATGTTTTTTACAATGAACAAAACAAGAGCAATTTGTGCACCAAGGTCTTTGAAAGATATAAAGACAAACACTTATAACGCTCACTTGAATTTAAATAAGAAATATTGTAAACAAGATATGTGATAGTGGTTATTATTATATTATTACTATTAATAAATATATTCATACAAGAAAAACAATATTAAAAATCATTATCATTCCATAATCCAGTGGTTATGCAGTAGGCTGTTTTCAGGTCCGTGTGAGAACATTTTAATCAAATGTTCGTTGTTTTCACAGAAGTATGACACCAAAAAAGTACACACTATTGAAATTAAAATCAATAAATAAATTCATTTAAAATAAATGCACTCTTCTGTATCAACCTCATGGTGTGTGTCTTTACTGTTTTTATAAGAACATTTTTATATTTGTTTTAGTCACAGAACTGTGACAGAAAACATGCTATTGAAATTCAACAATTAAGATAAAGCTGGCAAAGTGTTGTTTTGCAGTTGTTTTGACTTGAATTTGAAAATCCAATTTTTAATCAATTAATTTATAACACACAGTTTTATTACACAACTTCAATGGGTGTGTCTTGTTACAGATTAGACAACCATTTTGATGGTGGTTTTAGCCACAGAACTATAATTGAACACATACTATAGAAAATTAAACCAATACATATTTTAGTTGAAAATAAATACAATCTTGTACCTCAGCTTCAAAGACTGTGTCTTGTTACAGATTTCTTAAAGAACATTTTGCAGTAGTTTTCATTGTCAAAAGAGATGCAAAAGTCACGCTATTGACATTCAAAAATCCCTTGCGAAACCTTCCAAAGAGTCTCCGGTATTACTGCCCCCTAGAGGAAGGTACTGCAGTTGTTTTGAATGAGTTTGACATTCAAACCTTTAATAAGTTAATTTAAAATGCATACAGTTTTCCATCTCAACTTCAAAAGTTGTGTCTTGTTAATTGGGCCTAAAAGAGTGTTTCTATGCAGGTTTCCGAGGCTGAATCTCTGACAAATGTCAAACGTCGAACCAACTTTATATCGGTACAACCAAAGTGAAAGAAATGACCCACATTTTTATATATGCGCATTTTGAATGCCTCTGTTCATTTATTTGTTATTTAAATTTGGTATGTTTGATAATATTCTATTCTAGATTATTTCTTAGTAGCTATTGAATAGCTAATATAAACTGATTTTGATTAAAAATTCAAATCCATTCAGGGTTAAACAAAAATGATTTCTAAAATCTCCAAACTTTGAAACCAATTAGATCAAAATCTCGTGACAATCATAAGGTAAAGACCTGTAAGGAGATGGGGACCAGAAATACTTAAAACAATATATTCTAGAACATCATTTATTGTTTTAACAGTCCCTCCATGATTTTGCGATTCTGCAATCGCTGAATTCATCGCAAAATCAAGCAAACTCCGCAATTTTCGCATGCGTTCGTCATCGCAATGCACATTCAGTCAAAGAAAGGTTGTTTCTCTGTTCCAAAAATGGAGTGAACAGCCTTGTGTTCTCATCATGACCGATTTACAAGAGCTACATTGGACAAACGAACCGAATGCAGAACGAATCCGCTCTACTCGTTTGGGCTACGCAGCGCAGACCGTTTATCTGCTCGGGCCGGAGCCGCGGGCTTCGCCGCAGAATCAATAACATCTCTGTGAAATCTTGTGAGAAGCATTAAAATTAAAAAAGCTACAGATATCAGAACAAACGCCACTGATGTGGAAACCAGGAAAAACATTGCTCAATAAACACAAATCACCACCATTCACCATGGATTTAACAGTAAACTATACAGGAACAACTTGTGGCAGAAATGGTCTAATGTTTTCAAGTGATTTTAAATGCTTCACACAACTTTTCCCAGCACTTCAGAGCTTTAAGTATTACCGAATTTGAAAGTTATATTTAATGTGATGACATTATTCGTTCATCCTTCGTAGGTTGCTCCATTTATAAAACTAAAAGTTTCATAATATAGGAAAGCAAAGACTTATTTAAAAATAAAAAAGTCATTAAATTATCACTAGTAGATGGCTGCAGAGAAATACTTATATGCTTATTAGCCATTTCCACTCCCTAATATATATTTTTTGTATTTATTAAATTATATTTAGACATTATGAATGACAGTAATACAAGTTACTTTTATCTACATCTGTAAGACGTCTGCTAAAGATCTGGGAAACATCTGCTGTGTAATCTGATAAACGTCTCAGCAGTTTTACATGCATTCTAGTAAATGTCTGTTTGACATCTGACAGGAAACGTCTTAGAGACTTATTGCAGATGAGCAAACACTCTAAAAAATAGGCCTACATCTTACATATGTAAATGCAGACATCAAATAGACATCTCCAAGATGTACATGTGCGATTAGGGTGAGTGCTTTACTGGCAGGTGCTGGTGCCACCTTCTGTAGAACTTAATGGCACTGGTGCTGGTGTCCTCAAATGTTAGTCTGGAGCCCTACAATGGTTCTCGAAGTCAGAAAAGTCATAACAATGTTAAAAGAATGTTGTCTGTGGTATATTTTCACTGCAAAACAATAAGAAATGCCACAAATATCACCGCAAATTTTGAGAAAAAATGCAGCAAAATCATTTTAGGCAGCAAAAATCAGAAAAAAAGTCCTGCAAAATCCTGGAGGGACTGTTTTAAGATATGCAATATAATTTATAGTATTTGTTTATGATTACAGATACATTGCATTTGATTTTATAGTTAACAACTATCAGAATCAGAAGAGCTTTATTACCAACTATGTTTACACACACAAGTAATTTGACTTGACGACAGCGGCTTCCAGTGCAGAAGAAAGTACAGACATAGTGCAGACATAAATGATAGTGCAGACATATACATAGGAATAACACAGTAGGGATGGAATATAACACTAATATAAGAAAAAAATGAAATTAAATAATGTAATATATACAGAAATAGAAGTATAGGGAAAAACTTTAATTGTTTAAATAAATGTACAGATATGTAATAAGTGTGCAGATACGTTATTTACAAAGTGAGTTTACAAGTGTACAAATTTTGGATTCTGTGTATAAATATGTCAGTTGTGATGGACAATGTATAATTATGAAAGTTTAATTGTTCTGGCTGAATATAGCCTGCGGGAAAAAACTGTTCTTGTGCCTGGCTTTTCTGGCAGTCAGTGATCTGTAGCGCCGACCAGAAGGCAACAGTTCGAAGAGAGAGTGGGCTGGGTGTGAGGGGTTCTGGAGATGTAAAGATCTTGGAGGCTGGGTAGAGGTGCACCGATAATCCTCTCAGCAGTCCTGACTGTCCGATGTAGTCTCTTGATGTCTGATTTGGTAGCTGAACCATTGTTTAGATAAATGTACAGATATGTTTATTAGTGTGCAGATATGTTATTTACAAAGTGTGCAGTTTAATATAAGTATAACTATGTTAGTTGTGATGGACAATGTATAATTATGAAAGTTTAATTGTTCTGGCTGAATATAGCCTGCGGGAAAAAACTGTTCTTGTGCCTGGCTTTTCTGGCAGTCAGTGATCTGTAGCGCCGACCAGAAGGCAACAGTTCGAAGAGAGAGTGGGCTGGGTGTGAGGGGTTCTGGAGATGTAAAGATCTTGGAGGCTGGGTAGAGGTGCACCGATAATCCTCTCAGCAGTCCTGACTGTCCGATGTAGTCTCTTGATGTCTGATTTGGTAGCTGAACCAAACCAGACAGTTATGGATGAACACAGGACAGACTCAATGATAGCAGAGTAGAACTGTTTCAGCAGCTCCTGTGGCAGGTTGAATTTCCTCAGCTGGCGAAGGAAGTACAACCTTTGCTGGGCCTTTTTAGCAATGGAGTCTATGTAAGTGTCCCACTTCAGGTCCTGAGAGAGAGTGGTGCCCAGGAATCTGAATGACTCCACTGCAGCCACATTGCTGTTCATGATGGTGAGTGGGGGGAGAGTAGGGGGGTTCCTCCTGAAGTCCATGATCATCTCCACATTTTTGAGCGTGTTAAGCTCCAGTTTGTTAAAGAGCAGGTCATATGGTATTTTAAAGTGTCCTAATATTGTGTTGGAGTCCCCTACAACTGGTTTAAATGCATCTAAGGTCAGAAAACATTGTAATTTTCTCAGAATATACATTTAATATTAGAGTCATTTGCCAATGATTTCGAAACGATTAGTTCCAGCAAACCCCTCCCTTTCATAAGCCTACTCTGCTCTGATTGGTCAGCTGGCCAAGCCTGTTTGCACAGAGAGGAGTCCTTAAGCAAGTTAGCAGCGCTACCATTGACAAAGCACCTTTACATAAAACAATAATATAGTGCTCCTATCCGTTCTTATAATAATGACATAAAATACAAAAACACTTATGCAA